CAAAAAAAAAAAAAAGAAAATGAGGATAAAAAAATGTAAAAAGCCAAAACAAACCCAAAAGCAAAAAACAAAGCAGGGAGGAGATGCTAGCGTTCAGCCTGCTCAGGTCCGCCCTCCGAAGAAAGAGGTCTTTGGTTCTATTTTCCTAAATGATTCTTCTCATTTGAAATTTTTTCTTTCAACTATATCACAGGTAGCTCTAGGTCCTAAAAACTTAGCACCAATTTGAAAAAGTCACACTTTCTTGTCGTCAGCGCTAAACTTCACAAATATCCATGAAAATGCATGTAGAGATCAGCACTGCCGTGGGTGCACACCCCACACTGCAGCCGACCCCCGCCTTGAGCTGTGCAGACCCCACATCTGTGTGTGAGAGGCCGGGCAGAAGCCCCCACGGGATCTGCACGGCAGCCGAGGAACAGCACAGTTGGCAGGACTAGTGAAATGTCAGCTGTGACAGGACACGGACATCTGGAAAACAGATTAAGGAAATGAAGGAAGGCACACTGACCTATCTTTGTAGATGCACAGACACGCTCATCAAAGCCAAGACTGACCTGTGTCATAACACAATTTGCTTTAGCACACGCAGACACGAACTCACCAGTCATGCTTATAGTTTCCGTCTGCTGTCCTTGGTCTTCCCCTTCGTAAACCACTGTGACATCATAAATGGCATCTATGTAGTTCTTCATGGAGTCAAAAGCAACGTAAGTTGCCTTTATCCGTGGTGTCAGCACGTATTTCAATACTGGAAGGCCTGGAAGAGACACATATTCCACACGACTGGTAATGGGAATATGTTAGGTTCTCCATCTGAACTGTTCCTCTGTCTCACAAACGAAAACACTCAATGGCTCAACCTCAAACACGCAGCTTTCTAAAGTACTCGGCTTTTCCGGCACGAGTCGATGGCCACGTCTCACATGTTGAACACCTGCACGCACGCACAGCCCTGGGAGGCCACCACCTGCCACAGCCGTCCGCTCCATCATCACGACACAGGCTGTGGAAGGGGGGCAGCCTCCTGCCCACGATCATGCAGGATGTGCCAGAGAGCAGAGGTCACGATTTCTGACTCCTGGTCTGTATCTCTGTGTATGTGTGTGCACGTGTTTGTGTGTGCATGTGCTGTACTGGGGACAGAACCCAGGGCCTTGCACATGTTACACAAGCGCTCTATCATGAAGCCGTACCTCAGCCCTTTTTATTTTATGCAGAGACATGATCGTGCTAAGCTGCCTGGGCTGGGCTTCAGATTGTAACCCTCCTGCCTCAGCCTCCCAGAGTGCTGGGATTACAGGCGTCATCACTGCAGCTAGTTCCATTTCTTTAACTCTGTTCCTGTTCTATTCAAACTGAGACTAAGGAGGGACTATCTTGCAAATGGCCCCACTGTGCCCAGCATCTGAAGTAAGAACGATGTGATCCATGCACTGAGAAATACTGATCTGGTATTTTTAAGATTATCTGAAGAATACAGTTTCTCAATGTGTGTGGAAACACAAACTAGACCAGCACACGACCACGGGGTTCCAGTCTCCAGAGGTGCGCGCATCACCCCCTGTCCGGCTGCAGATGCTGCCGCTGCTGGGGGTGCCCTCACCCGACGGCAGCGCCCCGCTCCCGTCTCCACCTGCGCTCGTTCCCGACACGGCAGTGAGAGGCTCTGTTCACTCAGCACCGTGGCTTCGGGGTGCACCTGCGCTCCTGCACTTGGCGGCTCTGTCCCTCCGCGCAGTGGCCGCGTTCACCTGATCACAAGGAGTTATTTGGGTGGCTCCCACCCTGGGCTCCCACAGTAACGCACTCTGCACTCGCACAAAGCGCGTGTGAATAAAAACACGACAGGATCCCAGGCCTCCCGGGGACATCCAGTGTGCTCTGTGAAGCTTCCTCACCCAAGAAAATTCTGTGGTTGCACACAGCACCTCCCTGCGGCTCTCCAGGCCTCTCCTCCTGGGAAGAGGTCGCTCCGCGCCCCTCCCCTCCCTGCTGTCGCTGTGCCTGCCGGGGACGTCCAGCAGCAGCCTCACCGGGACAGAAGCGCAGACTGGTGAGAACCTGCCCCTCGGGGGAAAGCAGCTGCCCACGGAGGCGCAGCCACGGCCTGACGGACAGGCCCACCACGAAGGAGCCTGACAGTGCAGACTGGCGTGGGAAAGACAACGATGCCCACAGTCACACAGCTGACCCGGGTCCCCAGGGCAGAGCATTTGATTTACTGGCAACACGGAACAAAAACCAGAGAAGTTTAGCACACTGCGAAACACCAGCTTTCCAAGTCCACAGTCCCCTGAGCCAGGTGCGGGGCTCGGGACCACAACGAACACTCCAGGGTCAGCTGGCAACAGGCAGAGATACAGCCTCACTCAAATAAAGAAAAAAGAACTACAGTGAGGTCTGGAAAACTCAGCCTGCTAAAGGGCAAGAAAGAGCCATGGACAATGTGGACATGAAGCTAAAACCACCTTCCAGTGAGAAACACGGGGCAGCTGAGTACGCTGTGTTCTCTGGGCCAACTCTCTTCGGCTCACCACGCTGCATACTCTGCACAGAAGGGAACAGGACAGAGGAGGGCGCCGAGGCCGCACTCACTACCGACAGACAGCGGCCCCGAAGCGCCTGCCTGGGGGACACAGAGCGGTCAGGCCAGACAGACGCCGCCGTGACTTCCCGCTCCTATGGGACTCAGCACTCGCTGCCCTGATACCTTAGTCACCTTACAAAGGCAACCTGGAACAGTACCAGAGACCGACCCGGATCTCCGTGGGGAGAAGCCAGAGGGCAAGGTGCTGCGGCCGACTTCCAGCCCAGGTCCACCAGGGGCCACCCCAGTGCAGGCCCTGACCCAGGCGGGACGGTGCGAGCCCCACAGGGCCCCTCCGGCAGGTATGCGGCGTCCCCTCTGGTGCCCACCCTCCTTTCCACCTCCATCCAGCCCTCTGACCAGGTCTTCAGGGCCACTGACGCCTGTGGTAGGTGTAACAGATCTGCAGTGGTACTGGGCTTCAGGAACACGATACACAGAGTCATCAGGCAGGAAACAGGCGTGATTTACACAGAAAATGTCACGCTCTAATACAGAACTTGGCCCACAATGGACTCATGCACACCCCACTTCCTCAAAGTAACTGAGCTCAGAGAAGAAAAATAAAATAACACAGCCAACAGGACCTTAAAGTCGGGCGTGGTGGTGCAAGCCTATAATCCCAGCACCAGGGAGACTGAGGCAGGAGGATCTCTGTGAGTTCGAGACCAGCCTGGGCTACATAATGAGTTCCAGGTCAGTCTCAACTACATATTTCAAACAACAAAAAGAAACAACAGGACCATAAATATCTAACTCAGTACTTTTTCCTATTCTATACTTAGAAAAAAGCAAGGCACTATTTGAAAACTATAAACAAGTAGGTCAGAAATTAATGAGGCAGCACAGCACACACCTGTAATCCCAGCACTCAGAAGGCTGAGGCAGGAAGACCACTGCAAGTTCAGGACCAGCCTGGGCTACACGGTATGAGACCCTATCTCAAAAACCAACAAAAAAATGTTATGAAGCAATAAAAAACAACTACAGAATAGGGATGAGTGTTTTAAATGAGATACAAAATACTTTCATACTGAAGACGCTTCAGGTCACTCAAGAGATCACTGCTGGATGCTGTGGGAGAAAGGGGCTCTGGGAAGAGGTGGGGGGTGCATGGCACCCCGCGCATGCTGCAGGGCTGAGCGTGGGAGGGCCGAGGCTAGAGAGCGGTCTGCACAGCTCAGGTTTCAGTGGATGTTCAGGCCCTGGGGTCACAGAAAGGGAGGAGCTGCACCAGGACAGAGACGTGTGTGTGAAGAGAGAAAAAGAGGCCAGCGATGCGTGGAGGCTGACTGCTGTGGGGCTCGTGTCCGAGGAGGCACAGATCAGGCGGTGCCCTGTGTAGCAGGACAGCTGGGAGAAGAGCAGGGGCACGCGTGTGTGCACACCTACACGGGGTGTTTGTGTGTGTGTGTGTGTGTGGAGGAGACCGCCAGTCACACCAAGTGCGAGGCGGCTAGGTAACCGAACATTCCAGAAGCGGTGGAAACGTGGTCTCTGAAATGGCAGGGATCAAGGAACTCGGCGCGGGCTATGCGCAGTGCTTGCCCTGCCAACTCCATACTCTGTGTTCCATTTCCTTGCTGAGGGCAGCAGACGCATGAACCAACTGACCGACCTGACTGTGGGTAAAGCCAGTGCCTGCGAGAGAAGGTGCCTTGAGGGTCAGCTCTCCTGGGAGAAATAATGCACCTGGCCAGCAGCACCGGACCCAAGAAAACCCCCATTACAAGAAGAGCCAACAAATGATATCTCAGAAAATAAGGAAGAAGCTTGCTGAAGAGACAACCTACAGAATGGGAAAAATGCTTTGCCACCTATTCCTCATACAGAGGACTAGTATCTGGAATATACAAAAAGGGTCAAAAAAAATGAAGACTCCACAGAAGAAAGGACCCAACCAAAAACATGGGTAACTAGAATGAATATAGATACTTCTCAAAACTACAAATGGGCAGTAAATACACAAAAAAGCATTGGCATCTCTGGCCTTTAGAGAAAGGCGAATTAAAAGAAGGAAGGGCCAGGGATTTGGCTCAGTGGTTCTGCCTCCTGCCTCACAAGCGCAAAGGCCTGAGTTCAATCCCTGCTACAAAAACAAAAAAAAAGACAACATGGAGATCCCATCTCCCTCTAGAAAGAATGGTCATCACCAAGAAATCAAATAATAATAAATGCCGGTAAGGCTGCAGGGAAAAGGGAGCCTTCTACATTTCTAGTGGGAATGCAATCAAGTACAACCATTACGGAAGCCAGTATGGAAATTCTTCGTGACAACAACAAACAAACAAACAAACTAGAAATGCCATTTGAACCAGCTATTCCCCTTCTAGGTCTCTTCCCAAAACAGTTAAAGATAAAAACAAAACAAAAACAAAAAGATCCTGTATCAGTGACCCCTGTACACCATATTCACAGCAGCACAACTCATCAGAGCTGAACGTGGAAGCAGCCTGTGTGGCCATCAGCAGATGCGTGGATAAAGAAAGTGTGCTGTCTGTCCGCAGTGGAGCACTGCTGTGCCACTGAGGAGGAGAAACGAGACAATTTACCTTGAATCCATGAAGTTAAGTGAAATAAATCAAACAAGCTTAAAAATCATAAAGCTTCTTTTACATGAGAAAAAAATTATAAGTAAAGAGAAAAGTAAAAGACATACAGTAAGAAATATCAATATAGATCCTTTGTAAATGAGAAGGGGACCAAGATATGGAAGGGAGTGAAAAGGGAACGAAGGCGTTACACACACGTACCAATTCTCCAGGAGGGATGTGACCACTGAGTACCGCACGCCGTGGGGCAGCCAGCACCTTGATTTTACCCAGTGAGGCCTTTCAGGCATATAAAAAATACAACTTGAAAAAACAAATGGAATGGCAAGAATCAGCAGAGATAAATTTTGGAATTACCTGAATAGACAGGATAACTGGAATCATGGCAGTGATTCAAAGTGTAAAAGAACAGAATACGAAAAGGCAAGAATTACAGACTCAGGGAACATCAAATACCTTTTTGTTACTATGAAGCATGAAGTACTAATGTAGAATGGGATAAGCAAAAAAAAAAATAGCGCTAACATAAGGCAAAAGCCAAAGAGAACGCTCAAAGGAGAGGAGACATTTACCTTTCTGTAAAAAGCCACACTCCATGTTCACATCTACAGCAAAGTTAAAACTGTTACCTGATTATGAAGAGAATCATACATAATGCTCAGAATTACGAGAAAGTAACACACACGACAACCGGTGGGAATGGGGGTCGCGGGGAGTCCGAGAGGTGTGCATCTGGATCTGGAGTGTGGACAGTCAAACAGGAGGAAGGGAAGGGCCGGAACTGCACCGGGGGCCAGCACCGAGTGCAGGACAGCGCTCAGCAAGGTCCTGGGCAGGTTCCTGTTTGAGAACTGGACTAGATGTAATCCTGGGGTGCCGGAGCTTGTTTCGACGCCCCCAAGGCCTCGTGAGGAGGTGGGCTTTCTTTTTCTGGGGGGCTGAATCTGGAGTGTGTGGTGCTGGGGTTAAGGGCATGTGACTCCTGAACCACTCCAGGGAGTGCCTGTCTGGCTGCCCTGATCCCCCGGTGCTCCACATGGGATAAAAAGGCAGAAAGACGCCTGTTGGCCTCTCTTGTTGCTTTTGCTGCTTCTGCTGCCAGGAACTGTTCCCCTCTGCCACCCTGCCGTGGAGCCAGCTGGTGAAGGACTGAAACCTCTACGAACTGAGCTAAATAAACCTTTCCCCTTTCACTTTAGGTGTGGGGTATTCTGTCTCATCAATGAGAAAAGTGACTAACACGGGTCAGGAGAGGAGTTTTGGTGAAGTAAACAAAGGAGATTCTAGAAGCCACACGCAGAGGTGGGGGGGTGGAATCAAAAGCCGGAATCTGCTGTAGTTGCTACATCTCAGAAAAACACTTCTCTCCAAAGATAGGGAGCAAAAAAGTCCAAGATAATATGTTGCAATAAAAAGGCACATTGAACGCACTGTTGTCAGAGGCACAACTTTTTGAAGGCAAAGATAGCCTGAATGTAAAAGTGAAGATAAGCTGTGAAAAATATGAGGTAGTCAGAAACAAAAGTCAAAGAATTCCTAATCACAGGGCACTGGCTCCACCGACATCAGGCAGCGGGCAGCAAGGATGCGGGACGAGCGCACTCCGCCGCTGAAGGACACGGCAGGCTACGGGGCCTCGCAGAGAGAGGTGGGCAGAAGAGCACAGCCCAGCCTCAGAGCCCGGGACAGGGGCAGGGGCAGGGGCAGGCGGGAGCTGCGGAGGCCACAGGGTGCGTTCAGGGACCAGGAGGATGCAAGGCAAAGCCACTTCTGGGACGGATTCAGCACGGTGACAGCGGAGCGTTACATGGGCACAGGACCCCAACACAGCACCCCGGTGATTCCCTGCAGCCTCCAGAGAGGACCGTGCACTGGCTGGTGCCGGGATCTTGCACACTGAGGCCTTTCAGACATATCAATGCCCAAACTGTGAAAGAATAAATATGTGCTACTCTCCTGTCACTGCCCGAAATAAGAGGGGAGGTTTATTCAGCTCATGGGTTCCTCGGCTTCAGTCTATGAGTGGCAGGCCTGGTGGAGGTCAGCTGACCACCCCAGGAGCTGGGGGGGGATAAGAAATACCGGTCACAACCCCACTGACCGCCTCTCCCCACCAGGCCACACCCACTGGCAGCACACCCAGCTGTGAACCCATCCATCCGCGCCCTGACCAAATCACCTCAGGAGCCTACAGCTGAACCCGAGGCTTTGGGGGACACTTCAGATCTGCACTGTAACCTTTGCACATATTGACAGCTGATGCACAGAGATCAGTTTGTGTTGTGTGAAGCCACCAAATTTGTGATCATTTCCAACAGTAGCCACAGGAAACAGATCATCTTGTGGGAGATCAGTATCCCACCAAGGAATGGGCAATGATTCTCCTTTTATATACTTGTTACAGTGACCTTCAAAAACTGGCTTCAAAGTACTCATTGAATCTGTGCTTACTGAGGGAGAATGAGCATTTTTTATCCAGAAGCAAAGGTCTTTCATGTTTCCTGAATTTCTTAGTCAAGCTGTTTTCCCATTTCTCTAGTTTGACTTTTTCTTACTAGTTTTGTATAGAAATTTAAGGCCATATATGGCCAAAATATCATTAGCATATTGAAACAAATTATGAGCACATTAAATATGCTAATGTGGGACAGATTCCTTACCAACCACTTGAAAACAAAACCTCAAGGGAAACACATTCAGCCACTCCACAGGCAATGCCAAGTGCCTACAGCCCCAGGGCCCGGCTGTGTCCGGAGCTCAATGAAGCCTGGGCGTAAAACTAAGGTTTTACCAGTCAGGATCGGGCCCACCAGTCTGGCTGAAGCACAAAGTCTGTTCCCAGCACCCTGCTGCCCCTGAGGGTGCCTCTGAACCACCAGGCCCCAGCCCATAGTTCCCGACTCGGGAGGGCCAGGGGTGCCCAGCAGGTCAGTCCTGGGGCTCCAGGCCAGGCAGCACTCTGAGAATCACTGACTGAAAATTTCAAAGGGGAGGGTCGGGAACTGACAAGAGAGCAGTGGAAGTCAGTGTGGAATGAACAGTCAAGACTTCTTGTTGGGTTAGAATCTAGCAGTAGGCCAAGCAGAGACAGCCTCCAAGGCGCAGCAAAGCTCTGGGGGTGGACGAGCACTGGGCTGGCAACGCGGGCCCGGGACACCTGCTGACCCTTGGCTGGAGGGCGGGTGCTGCCCTCGCAGAGCTGAGGGCCCAGCATATGGCCATCAGGAAGGGGCTGGGTAAAGGGCAGCTCGGGAGGCGGAACAGCTGCAGTGTGGGCACTGAAGAGCAGGTGATCTACAAGGCGATCGCATGGATGGCCTGAAATCTGAAAGCAGATGTCTTCTCACGCCCTACCTTCATGCCTGTTCTTTTCAATAAATGACTAGCATAGACGAATAAAAAATTCTGGTGTGGAAACAGAAGGTTTGAAGACAGTCTTCTGATGTGTCCCTTTCCAATTTTAAGTGCTGAACTATTTTCAATCCCTGATTGGGCATTTTGTAAGTTGACAGATACCTATCAACACAGAACAGCAATAATGGAGGCTCAGAAACCTAAGAGGTTCACAGCCAAGGGGATTCAGGAAAGGGAGTGGTCACTCCCTGACAGGTGTGCTGGATTTCATGGAATTCTACTTGGTCTCCTAACAAAACAAACCCTCTGAGCCATAAATGGAGAAAGAAAGATCTTTTTATCTATCATAATACTTCATTTCACTTATGCAACACTATTATATGACATGATACTATTATACGTATGTATTATGTGGGAGTTCTTTACCAAGTGGTTTGTCGTTTTTTTAAATTACAGATGCTGTATAAGCCATTACAAAAATGAAAATTAAGCACCCTTTCATACTAGAGAGATAGTTAGATACAACCTCGGCTAATTTATATAGAAATGTAATTATTTTTTAAAGAAATGACTAACGTTTACTTTCAAGCAAGAAGGAAATAATAGAGATGAGAATGTGATCTTCCAAGTGAATAAAATAGATTTTCATGGGCCGGAGATTTAGCTCAGCGGTTCGGTGGCCTGCCTTGCAAGCGCAAGGACCAGAGTTCAATCCCCAGTAAAAAAAAAAAAAAAAAAAAAAGAAGATTTTAACATTTTTTTCACACTGTAACACAAGACAGATTTTAAGTAATAGTCCTGACACTGAGTCAAAATATTTTGTGGGTAGTTAAGTTGTTTTAGGCAAAATACATTTAGAAAATAGCAATAACCAGGGCCTTGAAATACTGAGGATAACGTGTATACCCCATCACACCTCTTCCTCCTGAACAGCTGCAGAAGGTACTGCCTTACACGTATAAACAAGTACCAAACTCTTAAAAACTAAATTTAAAAAGGCTGAAGGGCCAGGGATTTAGCTCAGTGGTTTGGTGGCTTGCCTTGCAAGCACAAGAACCTGAGTTCAATCGCCGGTACCAAAAAAAATAAAATAAAAAGGCCGATTTTGGCTTGTCTGTTTCTCAATTTTTTTTTGTAATTAGAAAAAAATAAAAGCACCTTGGGAGCAAAATACTGATAATTTTACATATCACAGATTGACAAGCACAAGTTGTTCAGACTAACTGAAGACACAAGTTATACTGTCTTTATTATTTTTAATTAACCTCAGTTGTGATTTAAGGGGAATGAAAACAGGAGCATATTTTCTAGATATGCCCTTCTCAGACCAATTGACTTTGTTACTCTACAGTAACAAGAAATGTCTAAAAAATAATAGCAATCAATTATCATTTTTAATATGGCATACATCTTCGAGTTGGTAAAGCAAATGCCATATTTGAGGAAATATATTTACTATAAAAGTGAATTTTACAAAAGAAATCAGAACCCCTTCAAAGCTAAAACATACTAAGTCCGCTGTTCTCCACAATTAAAGATTACCCGTTCTATTACACAAATCTACTACACTTCTACAAATAACCAGAGGTTTGCCTAGCCGTAAGATACAATGTCCATGGGCTGATTTTGTCTCAGCATATTTAGAATTAACAAATCCATCTGTCGTGTTATGATGGAGCTGCAAGAGACAAAGCTTCTGGAAAGCAGGGCTAAGTTCTGCGGACCTCGCTAAGTTCCCAACCAGGCCAGGCCCTGGTTCTCCGCCTCGATCAATCTCACCAGGTGGCAAAGCAACATTTGCAACATCCGGCACCTGTAGCCAGACAGGTAATCCGAGTCTGGGTGTCAAGGTGAGCAGCTGAACCCACACAGGAGAAAAGTGACACCTACTCAATCACACAACCTGAGGTTTTAATGGAACCCACGGCACGCAATAATACATATCATACCAAGCGCCTGAAATGGTCTCCCAGATGTTTGTAATGACAAGCACACGAATCAAGAAGAAACCGCATTTCTTAGGAGTTAACACATTCAGTCTTTAAATTCTTCTAGAACATAAATTTCTATTTCAGGAAAAAACAACTAAAAAGATCGGTAGCTTTAAGTTATTTTTTCAAACACAGTGAAATACTGACTTACCCCGCTGAGCAGCAAATGCCTGACTAGCGGAAAGGACTTTTGGGGTATACCTTGTTCCCTCTGGAAAAATCACGAGATACATCTGTGGGACATAAAGAAAACCCAGTTTGTTTTTGGTATGAGCTTAGTTGCGGTTATTGCTCTAAACGGATCGATGTTGGCCCTGTAATGCTGAGACGGTATTTCCTAGAATGGGAGAAACATGTGCGATCTTCATTTCAAGCAGAGCAAACAAAATGTAAAGCTTCATTAACACGGGCTATGTGCAAAATGCGCCCACGTAGTCCCATAAGTGAGAACCTAGAGACATCTCTAATATGCTAATAGTCATCAGTGAAAATTCGGTCATGAAATGCTTACCAATAATTAATAAAACAGCGTTTTCTTTTTTCCTGTCTAGGTGATACTGGAGCCTGACCCAGGGCACTCTACCAGCGGCCTGCACTCCGTCCATGTCATTTTCACTTCGAGACAAGGCCTCACAAAATCACCCAGGTAGCCTTGAACTTGTGATCTTCCTGCCTCAGCCTCCCAAGCAGCTGAGATTTACAGGAATGGGTCAGCTGGCCCAGTCTGCACTACACGTTTCATTAGCACATACGTGTCGTACGCAGTAACAGGACTCCGTACCTTCGCACGGTACACACAGTTCCCCCATCACACCCGCCCACTCTCCAACCAGGCACTCTAAAGTGATGCCCCTCTAAAGACTCTGCCCTCAGCTACCAAGACCAAAAGTCCACCTCACCTAAGAAACGGGTACAGAAAGATTTTAATTTCTGCACACAAAGGGTAGTGAGTGCTCTCATTTCCAGTCCCACGGGCTCCTCTCTTGTGGGGCTCCCCTAACGCACTTAAATGACTTATGAGCAGCTTCACGTGTTACACAAATTGAAACGACACAGTATTTCTAAATAAAGAGTGACAAGCCACAGATCTGCTAAATCATCACTTAGTCTACACTTTTATACTTTCCTGCTTGAGAAAGGAAAAGCAAAACACTAAAACCATAGAGCTACTAAATACTAAATGGAGACCTGAGTTGTTTTTAAAAACTGTGCTAGTACTTAAACTGACAGCCAAAGGACGAGAAGAGCTCCCTAACCCGTGACCTCTGATGATCAAACGACTGCTTTCAGGAAGCTATCTACGTAAGAACCGAATTTGCTGAGTGAATTTATGAGTAAACACATCCAAAGCTTAATTCTGAAAAACCGGCATGCTACACATTGGTATTTCTACACTTCGCATTTTCAGCTTCCCCACAAATACATAAGCTCTTTACAAAACTCTCTTATTTGCCTAACTTCAGAATTTGAAAGGTTGTGTTAAATCTTTATATTTAATAATGATTGACCTGTTAAAGGTGGAAAAACTAGTAAAACTGAGAAAAAAATTAAAAATCCAACTTACTAACTAGGAGGAAAATAGGAAGAATATTAAAGTTAGTTCTCAAACCATTCATTCATTTTCGTGAGACTATATTATGGATCAGTAAAGTTTACCTGCAAAGCCATGGAAGCAACTGTTGATGCCCGTAGCTTTTAGCTAATCACTTCCAATGACTCCCTATTTAAATGGTTAGTAACTCATGTGCCACCATTTTCTGTGCTTTAATGTTTAATCGACAAGAATGAACCGTCTGTCCCAGGGCTCATTCGAAAGCTGCTCTCTCAGGCCCTCTGTGTAAGACGACACAGCAGACCGGTGCTTCCCTTCAGTCTTTGCAGACAAGTGAGGAAAAACACATTAGACAAATGAATAAAAACACGCAGATTATGATGCTGTGCCTGTGAAGAAAAGAACGGCTGTTATGAAGGAGAATTAGCAAGTCCGAACCCGGAATGGGCGACTGGACCACGAGCTCAGGGGCCGGAAAGGCGTCGGTTCAGGAAAGCCGCCTCCCCTCAGCAACTCCGCTCCTGGCTGTGCTGGGAAAATCTGACAAGAAAAATGAAAGGCATCTAGATTTAGAAAGGGCAAATAAAACTGTTATTTACACACAAATGACATGACCGTGTACATAGGAAATCCTAAAGGATATTTCAAAAGAAGTCACTAGATGCTAAGCTTAGCAATGTTACAGAATAAAAGGTCACTACACAAAAAATCAATTATACGTATCACAAAATTAAAACCCATCTATCATAACATTACAAAATACGAAATTCTTGTGGATAAGTCTGGCAGATGTATAAGCCTGTACAGTAGAAGGCTATAAAACACCGAGAGAAATTAAAGGACCTAGTTAATTACACAGTAAAATACGGTTTGGCAAACAAAGTCTGGGACCAACACGGAGGAACGGCATTTACGGCCCTTGCTGCGCGGAGGAGGGGACCTTGCGAGGAAGCCCAGTTCACCAAGTACAGAACTAGAGACAGAGTAGAGAACGCTGCTCAGATTGCGGCCTGGGCGCTGGCTTCAAAACCTG